GATTTTCAACTATCATTTAGTTCGCGTAAGCCAAAAGCCACTCGAACTAAAATTCGAGTTTCGGGTCGTGCACTGCTAAGCCGAATCTTAGAAAAATCATAACTTCCTCATACGATGTCAGATTTGGGCGTTCTTTTTTTGTATGTTCTTGTTTTAACATATACTACAACTTTAGTTTAGATTTCTAAGGCGAAAAGTCGCTCCATTGTAAATTTACTATTTACGCTTCCCGGTGCCATGTCGGTTTTGCCATAAAAGTTCGACGGGTCATAACTTCTTCGTTATAACTCGGATTTCGGCGTTCTTTATATGTACGGAAACCTTGAGACATATTCTACAACTTGATTAGATTATTTATTCTAAATAATCTTCTGTTGAAAAGTCATTTTCGATACTTATTGCCTCAAAATTGACTAGCCCGGATCTGCGGCCGTTACAGTTTTTTGGGTTTATTTGTACCGAATACATATCCAATCCCCGCAAAGCGGGGATCTTTCACTAGTTAATAATGAAATTTATGGGTTAGACACTACATATATGGTTGTTTGTTTTTAATATCTTAATCAATAGACAATTATTTAAATGATTTCCAAACCAAAATCCAGCAATGCCTTTCAACAATTATGAATATATGTGCATAGTTGGTCGAATCTATGACAAAACACTACAAGAATACACATCTGTATTGACGACATCTATTTCGATGACAGCTGTCATCGGTAAAAAATTTGTTGTGCCGACGACATGAGGTCGGTATAGCGTTCTTTTTACTTTGACCAGATAGCATTGACCCGAGACTCTATTCAGACAACTTGTCATCTCCATAGGTGCAGTGGGAACAAAAAACATTTTGGCGGTATACTAAAAACCTATGCTGACGACATGTGGTCGGTATATATTACAAATTTTTTAAATTTTGACTTATTTATTTTCCTTGGTGCAAAAATTACTAACGACGTCTATATCAACGACATTTCGTTGAGATAAAAAAATGGCGATACGTATGACAACGCTTTACCGAAGACATGTCGTTGGGATAAAAAATGGTGATCTGGGTGACAGCTCTATACTGACGACATGTCGTCGGTATAGGGTTGTAGCCTATTAGAATGCAGTAGACATCGATTTCATTTGTAGAGATTGTTTCCTTAGTTCCTTCACCATCCAACGAAGACTCATGCTTAGAAACCCTCCGTTTCCAGCCCCTCCCCTCCCCTTCACCGGTGAAACAATTCATGTGTACATCTTCCGACCACTACTCTTCACTGGCGACGACAACGACTTCTGGTAAGCTTGCTAAATTTTGTTGATTTCATAGTTTTTTCACTGATTTGGTTGTTTTCTGGTGAAGTAGTGATCAAAGGACCACCTGACGACCCAACTTCACCTTCTGGCCACTACAAACGACAAAACAGGTAGCATATTTGATTTCTAATTTTTTTTAATGAACTGGTGTTTCTCTGATGACAACTAACCACCATCAGAGGACCATAGTAGAAGCCGACTACAGGAATCCCAACAAGAAGATACCACAAAACTGCTTAGTATTTATTTTCCGGTCATCTGTACCGACGACATGTCGTCAGAATAGGTATAGAATAAAACTTTTTTTTACATCGAAGATCACTCCCGGCGACCCTTTCTAGACGACAAGTCATTGGCATTGGTTTCTCTGTACCGACAACATTTATCCTGACGACATTTTCACTTTTACCGAGAGGACTATTCCGATGACTTTGTACGGACGACATGTCGTCAGATAGGTTGTCCCGACGAAATGTCATCGGCATAGGGGTTGAAAATGTCGTCTATATAAACATCTTGTAGTGAAATAATTCCAAAACCAAAGGTCGATTTTAAGTAAATTTCGAATACATTTATTGTTGCCTTTTATATTTACAAAATCTGTATTATATGCTGTCATTTGAAACTTGAATCGTTGAACTTATTTAATGAAAAATATTGCTATAGTTTTGGTTTTGAAACAGGAAGCTCAAAACGCAAGCAATTTGATAGTAAAAAAATGGGAGTGGTATTCAAAAAGTGGCATATTAACATGAAATAAAGAGAATTTAACACAGAGAAGAAAAAAGAGATTAGCATATAACCAAATTTAAATCTCACTGTATATAGGTAATATATTCATTATCCATTTTTGTATCAAGCAAATCAAACATTACTAGGCATTTCAACGATCTTTCCATTCTTTTGCACGAAGCGGTGACTGTCAAATTTCGTGCCATGATCATAACGGAATGATTTGATTAATTCTCTTTAATTAACCAAAGCCCTTCTAGCCGGCTGTATTAGGTATTATATTCACTTCTTGAGGTTGCGGTTATAATTCTTGTCTGAGACAGGTGATTTAAGAGTAGTTTAAATTAGATTAGATTAGTTGTACAAAAAAAAAAAAAAAACTTTAACTAGTATTGGACATAAGCTTGAAAGTGGAGAAATCATGCAAATGTGTCAGATTTATAGCATAAGCGATACACCCACAAGAAATAGGAGTAATGATCTAAAAACAGGATATAATAATTTATGCAAGTTAAACGGATAACTGATAATAAGGGAAGTCCAAAGATTAGGCTATACAATACAAAACATAGAAGAAATATGTGTATTTAAACTATCAAAATTAAGCAAAATGAATGTGTTTTTCAAGATGACAAGGATGGAAAGACAAACTAACATCACTTTTATTACATGAGATAAAACAACTAATTAAAAAAGAATCAAGTACATGAGGACATGCCAATCATTAATTCCATATAGACCTAGTGGAAAAGAGAGAAACATGAGATCGAGATCGAGTGGACAAATATAAGTCTCATAAACTGTCATATCGAATGAGGATCTCATGGGTACAAAAATCCATCAACGAATATAAAAAATCATCAAATTCATTAGTAACTTTATTATCTTTGGGTTTTTCCAACATAGGTGATGGGCATGTATTTATCATTTCCAACAACGACAAACTAAATGGTCTTTTAGAGCTAATAGAAAAGAGTATACCAATGTTCGAGGAAAGATCCAATTTGACGCCAATAATATTTGTATACAATCCAATGCCAGTTGTGAGCGTCATTGTGTAGAAAACATTAACAACATTGTCTTTCATGATCACATATCATTAATTAGGGGAAACAACTGCTAAGGCCGAGCAATGGAAGCATCATAAGCTTAAGTCTATATCGGTCCTTGGTCTTCCTTAATGTATGAGCATGTCTTCTTATTGTTGCGATGGTTAGGGATGATTCTCAATGTTTTAATAAATCGATCTTATAGTTGAACTGGTCTAATAACCGATTTTCGGTTCGACTACTGGTTTAACCGTCGGTCTATAGCTGACAGTGTGCATCGGCTTTCGAGTTGTGTACACTATGTATAACCTAACTAATCGAACTATTCAATATTCTTTTTGGAATGAACTGTTTTTAATGGGCTAAGTGAAATCAAATTGTACAAGTCCAATAAACCGGTTCAAAATGTTTTTTTACTGGTTCTTTCACACCGGTTTTACTCAGTTTTTTTAAAAATCATCGGTTCAATCCGTTCTAGAAATTGGAATAAAATTGGTCGTTGTTGAACCACTCTCGTCCCCGCTTTCTAGTCTGACTGCTTCAACCGGCTGGTTCGAAGCAATTTTTAAAACATTGGTGATGATACCACTATGGAGTATGGATCGACAGTTGGCAAACGGTAACATCAGACAAGGTATAAGTATAGGCAACAAACATATCGTTTCGTGTCATGTCATGTTTTTATCTATTTGACATTTAAAAGGGTTGATGGGTTTAGGCTTAGAAGAGGTGGAAAAGAGAAGTGGCAAGCATGGAGTAGCAGCACGGAGTTGAACGGGCGAATTTCACAATAAGCTTAGAAGAGGGAAGTCATCACTACTAGAAAACTATGGCAACAACTACAACACAATCCGTAGCTATTCAGTAGGTATAAGGCGATACTTACGGATTTGCTACAGAAAATGCCCTGTAGCATAAATGCTCGATGGAAATTTTTACCTACGAAATTGCTACGGACTAGCTACTGAATGGCTACGGATATTTCCGTAGGTATAATACCTACGGAATAGCTACAGCTAGTAATTGCTACGGAATACCTACGGATTGCCAACGGGTGTATGTTCCTACGAAATAGCTACGTAATAACATGGCTACGGATTTCCTACGGATTACCCACGCAAGTATTTTCCTATGGAATAGCTACGAAACTCTTTATCTACGGACTTCCTACGGATTAATGACAGAACTCAAGTTTGACTAAAATTGACTTTCTTCCTACGGAATACCCACGGACCTATTTAGCGACGAATTTCCGTAGCTAGTCCGTAGCTAATTTCATTTTTTCAAAAAAAATAAATTTTAAAAATTTAAAAATTTCCATTTTTTGTCAAATACCATATCAATTCAATTTGTCCAAAATACACCAAAAAATGTCCCTAATACCAACTTTGACACATTCAATTCTATTGTCTTAAATACCATACAAATATCTCAAGTACCATACAAATTAGGCATAACAAAACAAGAAAACAATACAAGTGTTTACAAATTCAATTGTTCCAAAATACTTGTCAATTGTTCCAAAATACTTATCAATTGTCCTCGGGTGGATTATCGGGGGGACCACGGGGTTGATTTCCAAAATACTTATCCATTTGTTCTTTCATTTGTTGTTGTTGTTGTTCCATGACAGAAAATTCAATACTTAAACAATAATAGCAATGTATTTTAGTTTATTGTAACAATGCATTTTAGTTTATAATTATAGCAATACACTTAACTTTTAAACCATAATAGCAACATATATTTATTTTTATCAATTTAATCAATATTATCAACAAACTACATAACCTTTAACCATAATATCAATATACTTTTGTTTATTATCAATTTAATCAATATTCTCACCAAACTACCTAACTTTTAACCATAATAGCAACATATTTTTGTTTATTATCAATTTAATTAGTATTATCAACATACCTCTTGTTGCGTGCTATCCGACTGGGTGGACTGGGTGGATTGGGAAGATGGAGTCCCTAAAACCAAAAAATGTATATCCGATGCTCCTTTCCCATAGATAGCACCCTTCTTTTTTCCTTTTCTTCTAAGTTGGCTTTCCTCCCATACATCTACATCATCCTTACGATTTGAAGGACCTTCACCAAATTTGTTGACCAACCCCTGTAGATACCCCTCCTACAAATTACAAAAAACATGATTATCATATACAAAAATGGGACAATCAATATACATAAATGATAAGGATAAGTTACTAGTGCTTCTTTGGCCGTCTGCGAGCAATATTCAATATTTTCATGATTTTTCTCAAAATATTTTTTCTTTCACTCGGTAGTGCCATGCGTCTTCACAAAAACATCATATTGTGTGCGTGGTTTACCCATCAATTTTTCCTACATAAAAGTCAATGTACAATTAATGTAGTTAGTGTTATAACAAAATAAGAATAATAAAATTTATTATTGTGATACTTACTAATTTCCTACGGTGCTGGTCAAATCCTATACTACCCGCGGTGTGTCTTGCTATTGACCCACTAGAATTTGCGGTGTTGCGGTTCTGCTGAACGATTTTTGGATTCTTTTGCCACTTATCTGTCACTACTAGAAAAACAGCCTTTTACGACGCTCATTGCGCGTCGTAAAAGGCTCAGACCACGGGCAAATGCGCGTCAAGAAAGGCCCTGTCATAAAGAGAGACGACGCGCTTTTGCGCGTCGTCTATAGACAACACTCATTTACGACGCACAATTACGATGCGCGTGTACGACACGCAATGCGTATCAAGGAAGACCCTGTGATAAAGAAAGACGACACGCATTTGCATGTCGTAACCTTATGACAGGCGTGTTAATAACACGCAATGCGTATCAAGAAAGCCCCTGTCAAGAAAGGCCATGTCATAAATGAAGATGACACACATTTTTGCGTATCATAATTTTAAATGTTTAAAAAAATATTATTTATAGATTTACTAATTTTCAAATTAAATAATACATTAAAAATATCATAATATAAAATAAAATACAATAAATAACAAAGATAATTTATTTCACTAATATGTCAAATACAAATAATTATTCCAAAAGTGAGTAAATGTTATAAAAAAAATGAACTCATTTATATACAATTGCATCATCTAGCTTACTATGTGCCAACAACTCCCTAGGTTTTTACTTTTTCTTGAGTCTCGTTTCCTCCAAAGCTTCTAGCCATGGCAAAATATGATATCTCGAGTCTCGTTTCAAGAACCAAAATCACCTTCAATCACCCAATTAAACTCTAACATTGGTAGACTGTGAGTTCCAGAATCAAGTTTACATCCATCACCTTCATCAAATAAACATAAAATGTAAATTCTCCTTTCTTATTATGAAGTATGTTATATTATCAATGAAGTATTTCTTATTATGCCTTTTATTGTTTGTTTATTATGAAGTATGTTATATTATGAAGTATGTTATGTTCATCAAATAAACATAAATTGTAAATTCTCCTTTCTTATTATGCCTTTTATTGTCTCTTTATGTCTTCAATATCATCAACGACACGATTTAAATTTATAGTTTATCAATATTGAATAAGAAGAAATATTTGAACTTACTCATATGAAGTTGATTCCATCAAACGACTTGTCTTCATAATATGTTCATCCTCTTGAAGTTGATTCCACCAGAAACAAAGCCAGACAATACCATTTTATTGCTCCCCTGATTTCCATAATTATTGGATGAAGCTGAAGTAGCAACAAAGCTGCTTTCGAACTGAGGCATCACTCCTGTCCTAAGCGACTTAACAGTTGAGCCAGTAGGAGGAGCTGCTTTGGGTTTTGAGTTATATCCTATCCCCAAACCAAATTCCACACAACGCACATCCACAAAATCGGGATACATATGATCATCAGGTCCAACAAGTCTTACCAAGACCTATGTTTAGAAAAAAGAGCAAAGTAATCATTTATTTTTAAGTTAAAGAGATCATAAAGATCAAAGTAAAAGTATAAAACATGTACAGATAAGTTTACTCAAGTAGAGTATTAAACAGAACAGAAATTAAAGAAATCATTAAACTACACCAACATGTATAGAAGCTATAATATTCAAGTAGAGTATTAAACAAAACATAAATTAAACTACATCAACATGTATAGATAAGTTTACTCACTTGAACATAAAGGAAAATGTTAGATTTTTTTTATATCATTGAATAAATCACGTATAAACATTTTCTTGCAACTAAGATGTTGTTTCTTTTTTGACTTAATGGAGTCAATGAGGACACGACTTAATCTAGTAAAAAGATATTTGATACAGATCATCAAGAAAATTATACACCAAAAATTTATCAACATTGGGTTTGTGTCGTTCTCTCACATATCTTTTTGACATAATTTTTTACGAGGTATTGAGGCAGTTGTTTATTAGGAAAAGAGTAGATTGGCCTATATCTTACTAGAAAGTTGTTCAAGATAGCTATTTCTAGCTTCTTCTTTTTTTGTATTTTTGAACCAAAGTGACAAAATACTATTGTTAGTACGGGTGAGCAAAGGCGGGTACCCGCCTTATTTGATTAGAACCGGATCCGGGTTCTTGAAATTTTGGAACCGGAACCGGTCACACCGGTTCTTTAAATTTTGGAACCGGTCCAGGAACCGCCGGTACCGGTTCCGGTACTGGGTACCCGGTTTCAAAACTCTTTTAACTAGTAAACGATGCAACCGTTCTCATAACGATGATGAAAATCTGAAAAACCATTTTTTTTATTGAATTGTAAGTGATAATGGGCAAATATTGTAGCAGAAAGTATCAAAGATAAACAATAACGGTAGATATACTTTGTGTCAAGATATGAAGCCTTGTACATCATTTGTGTGGCTATATACCATATAATGCATCTTCACTTTAATTACAATATGATAATAATAATAAAAAACACCTACACTCATCAACAAATTTAGCATTACGTGGTCTTTTACTATTTGATAAGCTAAAACTACGAGACTTCATCTACTCTGACATATAATCTTAAGCTACATTATTATAAACAGATATATAGGTATATATAGCAATACAAACTACAAAGTTTATTTCTAACGATAAATGCTTTAGATTAGCTATACACACATTGAGAACCCAGATTAGTAATATGAGTACATAAGAACCCAAATCCGCAATTTTTAAATTAGAGATACACACATTAAGTCTCGTGAATATGATTATATGAACACAGGGTGAAGGCAAAAGGATTGAAGTTTTTGAAAATTGAAATCAAACCAGATAAAATTCAATTCAGCATAACTGAAATCAAATCAAAAAACTTAAATTTATAAGAATTTCAAGAAGAAAGATAACCCAACTCGGAATAACTGAAATCAACCCAAATGGAAAGGACAATCTAAACTTTTTTTAAGCATTTCAACAAGAACAAAGAAATCCCAACTCCCAACTCAATATGACTCATGCCACAACAAAAGGAAAGAAAATTAACATAGAAACGTACAAAGTTAAAGAATAAGAGTACCTTGTTCTGGTTGGGGTCAGTTGAAACAGAGCCAATTTAAGATGCGTGACAGGATCCATACTGCAAAAACCAGACACATAAAGATGGGAAGAATGGATAGAAATTAAGAAGAATGAGTGTTCATGTCATGTTACGGGACATGAGCATGCACAGATCTGCAAGATTGCAGAGTGTTTTCTAAGGAAAGATAGGGATGAGAGTGATCAGCCAGCAGGAAATAATGAGGTATTGCACAATCCTGTATGTTGTAGCTGTACCAAAGACTCCTGTTGTGTACTCCAGCAATAAGTATTTATAGCATCCCCATACAAACAACTGCAACACGTGAATAAAGAATGTTAGAAACATTATCATGTGATACAGGAGCCAAATTGTTGTCATACTCATGCTCCTGTTAACTGATATGCACAAAACCTTCAGTAAATATTTATAGCATCCCCATACAAAAAACTAACTGATATGACAATGATAGAATTCAAATTTAAAAAGAATAACAGAAACAGAGCATACCCAAAACTAAATATAAAGAAATTTCTTGTCTGTCTTTCCCATAACATGTGACAGCTCCTAGCAACACATACCAAAAAACATAAGTGATACATAATGTAATAAAAAAAATAGGTCAAACCCAATAAAACTGTAAGTTTAATGAAACGTATGAACTACAATGAAAATAATATTGAAAGTACACGCATGAGAAGTTTTTAGCATAATTGTTTGACTTTTGTTTAAGTATCTATTTCTCAGTTTCTGTTTAATTCAATATGATGAAACAGGAATCGGAATCAGATACTAACCTCGCCGATTCCCATGAAGGCACGCATGACAAGTAAGAAAGAAAATCTGATTTTGACAGCAATTGGAGTAAAAACGTTGCAGCCGACCACCAGACCAAATCATTGGACTTAATACCCGGTTTTGAAAATAAACTATTAAGAGAGCCACCAATTTCGAAGATAGATTAGAGTTATTGTTGTACCAATTGCGATTTACAAATGTTTCAATTTCGCGCCCCAAGAAGGGTACAGATGACCTAATTTTTTTATAACAACTCTAGAACTGATACGTACCTTTCTCTTTGATAATTTATTTTAAGATAACCATTGTTTAGGGCTATCAACAGCACCGTCGTCTCCGCTATCATAGTGTAATAAAAAAAACATCGTTGAAGGTCCTTCATGACTACTCTAGATTTGGTCTCTTCTACTTAAGATGTTTCCATTTCGACCTCATTGACTTTGGTCAAATTAGTTTCAGGTTCCTTTGGTTGCTGCTGCTGTTGGGGATTAGATATTGTTGGGGCTTAGATAATGTATATATACCTTCATTTTTAGATTTGTAATCTATAAAAAACTGGCGATCTTCCATGAGATTAGGTTTGAAATTGGTCTCATATGAGTGTCCTTGCTTCTTATGAGATAAGCCCTCCGCATAATCTGAATAATTATCAGAAGCAAGTGGTAGATCTTCTCTACTCCTTGCTCATAAAAACACATTCAACAAACTCACTAATAGCAATTTCCTTGAATATTAAATTAAAATTTTTTGATAAAGAAATGTTCAAAGTACCAAGTTTGGTTCTTCTTGACTGTGTATCAACCATGTTAACCCCATATAATTTGAGGAGCACCACTACTTAAAATGTCAATCCCCTTCATTATAAACTGCCATGAAAAAACATGTTAATTTTCTAGTCCCATATGAAGTTTAACATAAACAAGGAGTGATGATTGTTAAAAGTTACCTAACAACCCACGTTCATCTCTTTTAAATAGACCTGCAACTTCTTAAAGGAAAGGGACTTCATAAAGGAAAGGGGTACTAGCCAAAGTTGTTTTTTGTTTAGGGATCAGGGTATATTGGGCTATCTAGCCATGGTATAGGTGATTGAATCCCATCATAAGTTTATCTTGGATCTTGATAGCCAGTCCACGACTAGACCTGCAATTGCAAATGTTGAACATGTCCATGACACTGTCGAATCAAATGAGTTTCTTCATGGGTAAATCGAACTAGAAACATATACTATTGCAACCGATTTACCTCCATAGTAGTAAGAGGAAGCATAACCATTTGGATAATAAGCCATTGTTGGATCCATGAAATCCACGATCAAAGGGGTTACAGATCTATTAGTAGGTTAAACCAGACCATTCCCAGCATCCATAGAAGACTGCAAAGATAATCATAAACCAAAAAACACATAACTAAGCTTCTGAAATCTAGATTAATGTCAAAGAAAAAGTTATACCAAGAAACTTTAGATATTACCATATGATGAAAATATCTGACCTTCTTAGTGGGCTCAGGAATTTCTGTAGTCTTAGCTTGCGAATCAAGTGATAGATTCTTCAGCAAATTAGAAGCTTTTGTACATAAAATTAAGGATAACCACTTGTTTATCAAAGAAACTGATACCATCAACAATTGAATCATAAAAACCCATATCCGTATTGTTGAACCTAAAACCCTAAGAACCTATAAAGATCGCACAGAAGACAATTACATATAAAGATCGCACATAAGCGAGATGTTCGAGAGAAACAAGAAACCCAGTTCAAATCGAGAGAAAACCATAATGAATCGTAAAGAAATTACTAGAAAACAGAGGAGACTTTGGTGTAGGAAGGAGGTGTGACTCTCAAATTTCTTGAGAGTTCTTGCAATTACCCGATACACATAGGGAGAAAAGGGGTAAGAAGACTGTACGCACACTGTTGACTTTCATAGTAGCGGTTACGAGAGCAAGATCAATTCTGCATATTTGGAACTATGTTTCACCCCATTAATTCGTCATCTTCTTCTTTGATCACAAAAGCAAGAGCAATTCTGCTATGAAAACGAAGGCCCTAGGGCTTTTTCTTGCCAATTGGAAGAGGCGGGGTGTTCAATTTTTGGGATCCAATAGGCGGGTGAAATCCCACCTTAAAAACGCGTGTTTCATTAAAAAAATTATAAAGCGACACACTTAGATGACACACATTTTATGAAAGGTGCCCTCCGCATTTCTTTTTTTTTTTTTTTTTTTCTAACACTAATTTTATGGCGCGCACAAATGCGTACCCTCTATCCTTCAAATTTTGCAAAATTGACATTAATTTTTAGGGCACGCACAAATGCGCGTCCACTATCAGCGTGTGTCATTGTTTGCACGTCATTAAAGGGTTGTTTTCTAGTAGTGTGTGGACCAATGCTTTGAAAAAAGAATATATATATATATATATATATATATATATATATATATATATATATATATAAGCACAATAATATAATAAGAAATAAAAAACTTAACAAAAAATAATAATGTATCATATCCGTTACATGACACAAACGTTGCCACACAGTCTCCGGTACGCGTTCGGGGCGGTAGTTATGCATCCCATCATAGTAGCTACAAAAATTTGGGGGGAGGGGTTTCCCATCATTTCGTGCAATGTTGGCAGATTGTCTCCTGATACCTTTCATCCTATCTCTGTATCTATCCTTGACGACACACTTGAATGCATCAAATATGTTCTCATTCTCTTGTGAATGCCACCTGTACATCGTCTGTAAAAGATAAAAAGTAAATTTAAAATATAAACTAAAAATAAATGAGTATAAGATACAATAACAAGTATTTAATATATTACCCCGAAACGCGAAAACATCTGTAGAAGAGCCTCATTTGGAATATCACTGAACCGGGCCAACGGAAAATCTAAATTCTCCTAAAAGAGATGAATACACGCGTTGTGGATTTTTTGATACCCAAACCTACAATATTGAAAAAACTATATAAGTATAATTATAACATCAAGAAATTAAGTTTTAAATGATGAAAACACTAATTTTTCCCCATCTTGGCTGATAAGGGGCAACGATGAGGCGTGAAAATCACTCGCATTCAAGTCGTGACCTCCTGAAGTACCTCTAGAGGAGGAGCCATGCGGCGTCAATGGTGTGTTCGGTGCCATCGGTGTGTGTGGGGTATGTGGTGACCGAAAGGTTGCCTCTGCATTTGCACCCTCAAAACAATAGTCCTCAAACCCATAATTACCACCTATCCTCAAAAACATTTGTGGGGACTGAGGTCTAGAATCCGTCTGTGGTGGGAGCTAAGGCATATGACCCGTCTCTTGAGCCTGACGGTGAAGAATCCCGGCCAAGTCTGCTAAAGGATCAGCCATACCGGTTTGCTGACTGATAGCACCTTGACTGTTGGAGACTGCACCTCTTGTCACTATCGGCATATCGATCGGTACGAGTGTCGTCCTATAATGTGGCTCTTCGGTAGAATTAGGGGATGCGCTCCTTACCCTATGCCTCGCACTACCAGAAAAAGAGTTGTTATTGTGGTCTTTATCCTTGCGTCTATTACCCGACATCCTGCATTTAATAAAACAAGAATGGTCAGTTATATAATATATGATTAATAAGTTATGACAAAAGAAATGTTTAAAAGAACAATATGTCCAAACCAAAATCATTAGAAAAACAACATTTAATTTTAAGGTTTTAAAAAAGAAGACAATGCTCTTAACATCAACAAATACAATGCTCTTATCATCAAAAAAAGACAATGCTCCTAACATCCGTCCTTATCATCTTCGTCTTCAAATTCTTCTTCTGAATATTACAACTCGTTTTCATCATCTTCGACTTCAAAATCTTCCACTTCTTCATCTTCCTCCCTAATTCTCTCATTCTTGTCGTCAATTATTTTCTCATACGTATTAGTAGTTGAGGCTAGGGACAATTGTTCTGCACGAGTTACAGTAAGGGGTGACTCAAATCGTTCTTCATCCTAAAAGATTTCATCTGCTTCCATTTCAGCTTCGGTAACTTCAAATACCCCTCTTAGTTTTGTCTTGATCACTGCCCACTTATCTTTAGTCTCCCTTGTCATTGAAGGGTATGGTTTATAAAACACTTGTTCGGCTTGTGATGCCAAACAAAAAGGGTCATCAGTTTGATGTCGAGAGTTGGATTTGACATCAATCAACTTGTTTTTGTTGACTATTACACCATCTTTGTTATCAAACCAAATACAATTAAACAGTACAAAAATCGAGGGTCCGTTGCTATAATAGTTAATCTCTATGATCTCTTGCACTATGCCATAGTAGTCGGACTCCTGTTCGGCATTATACGTCTCCCCTCTCACACATACTCCAAAGTTATTCGTCACACGACCCTCACTGTATTGTTGAGTGTGAAACTTATAACCATTTACAAGATACCCATTATAGTAATGAGCATGTCTCGATGGTTTATTAGTTATAACTTCTAAGTGTCTAGCACTTCCATCAGGTGTCTTATACATTACCTACAGTGAAAATATACACATTATGTTGGTTTTTGATGTATTGGTAACAATCAGTATGATTTAACTATTTCTACTTACTTTGTCCTCAAACCATTCAGCAAAGTATTTATCTCTTAAATCTGAAATTGATTCGTTTGGATTTGTTTTCATGACCATTTCATCAAACTCCATGATGTAAGGGTTAACTTCTTTACAGTTAAGTAATATGTAGGTGTGCGCTTTGTGGAAATCTTTATGAGTCAAAGTTGTCGTTTTCCACTTTTTTCATATAATCTTCTTGAAGGGACAACAAAGATGCTAAGTGGAGCTTCTCCACTAGAAAAACTATGACTTTGCGGTGCAAAATTCCGTGCTTCTCGATTATGGCGTGTCTCAATCGTCGGGTCAAAATATAACGAACAATAGGTAGCAAGTTCATTCACTAGATGTTCATTGACTCTTGAACCCTCAACCCTTCCTTTGTTCCTTATTCTTCTTTTAATTATGCCCAGTTTCTTATATTTACAAAGTATAGGCGATGTGTTAGGAAATGCAACGTTTTCGAGCATAATACTTTTAAAAATGTTAGATATATAATATTAAAACATATGATTACCTCTCGTATTGAAACACCCATCTATAATGTACCGGACCACCAATAATAGCTTCATCAGCTAAATGTATGACTAGGTGTTCCATTGAATGAAAGAAGCTCGGAGGGTATATTTGCTCCAACTTGCACATAGTCTGAATAATATTGTGTTTCATATCGAACATGTCCTGAAAATCCATTGTTTTCGAGCATAATACTTGAAAGTACATAGATATCTCTGATATGGCCTCGTATATTGTTGGAACAAACCCTCTTAAAGCTAGGGGAAGCAACCGTTGCATAAACACGTGGCAGTAGTGGCTTTTGAAACCATAGAAACTGTAATCTTTGATGTTTACGCAGTTTCCTATATTTGATGCATACCCGTCAGGAAATTTGAGCTTTTTCAACTACTCACATACTTTTTGAACTTGGTCCTTTTTCAATGTGTAATCTCCACGATTCTTCCTAGCCTTCCTGTTGTTGTCCCTGATAGGGTTTAGTATAGGTCGATCACATAGCATCTCAATATCCTCTCTTTCCTTTATATTGCCTTGGACTTTGAGGTGCCCATCGAATTCTGAAACATATTTTCAAAAAAATTCCTCTGAATATGGATCAAATCAAGGTTGTGTCGGATCAACATGTGACGCCAATATGGAAGCTCCCAAAAGATGCTCTTCTTTACCCAGTTATGCGTAATACCAAAACCATGTGGTTTTGCATAATTTGGACCATAGGGTGTACCGTTGTATACAGTGGGAAAATGTTGGATTTTCTGCCAAATATATTCTCCGATTGGGTACGAAACAGGCAGTTCATGACCCTTCACTTTCTTGCCTTTTATAAAATTAATTGTATCATTTCGAAATACGTGTCTTTCGGGTAGATGTTTTCTATGACAGTCAAACCAACACGGTTTTTGTCCGTTGACAAGCCGGAATGATTCTGTTTGGTGCATGCAATATTGGCACGCTAAATTACCATGAGTGCTCCATCCGGATCACATTGCATAAGAAGGGAAGTCACTAACTGTCCATAGAAGTACAACCTTCATTTGAAAATTGGTCATTCGATGAGCATCATAAGTTTCAATGCCATCTGTGAACAACATCTTCAACTCTTCCACTAGAGGTTGTAAAAAAACATCCAAATTTTGTCTAGGACTCTTCTTCCCAGGAATGATCAATGGAAGTTGTATGTACTGATGTATAAAATCCAACCAAGGGGGTAGGTTGTAAACAGTGATAAACACCGGCCAACATGAATAGGGAGTTGTATTTGAATTATTAGGACTAAACCTACCAGTACACAACCCGAGACGAATGTTGCGCGTCTCATTTGCAAAATTAGGATATGTTGTGTCAAAATGATTCAATGCTTTAGCTTCACTGGGATGTATAATCTTTTCTGGATCTATTGAATGATCTGCATACCAAGTTAAATGTTTGGCCGTCTTCCTTGAATAAAAGAGCCTTTGAAGTCTCGGTCCAATCGGCATGTAAGTCAAGACCAAATGAGGAACTTTCCTCCCTCTGTCTTTGTATCTATTTTCACCACATACTACACACTGATCCAGATCAGCAAATTGGCCCCTAATTAGCATGCAATGGTTTATACATACATCAATCCATTCTAAAGGCAATTTTAGTGGCTTCAACATTTTCTTGGTCTCGTAGAGGCTGTTAGGAAGCTTCTCGCCAAATGGTAGAATGTCTTTAACAATCGAAAATAGTTTATCAAATGACGTGTCTGAAACATTAGATTGTGATTTCCAGTCCAATAATCTAGTGGTCGCGGGGAGTGTGGAAGTTTTTGTACACCCATCCCATAAAGGCTCACTCGCTTGTTTCAAAATTTTATAAAAATTTTGGTCTTCAAGATTTGGGTCGTGTGCTATTTGTTGATAATAAGAAGCCTCGGGTTGATGCATGCTTTCGATGACCATCTCCTCGTATCTACGATAATCACCAAAATCGTTATCAATGTGTTGACCCGTTTCAGGGTTTGAACATCGACCAATCTCTAGTGTTGGATATTTTTCGCCATGTAAATACCATAGTGAATAACCATTCATGAATCCCCGGGAAATAAGATGCTTTAAAACTGATTCTCTCGGGTGGTAATAAATATTTTTGCATTTCACACACGGACATCTAATTTCAAAAACTTCCACCCCTTCCTTAATAATACGTTGGATGTTTGTTGCGTTCGTGTAAGCAAAATCCAAAAACAAATTGACATAATGTGGCCATTGCTTATTAAACAAACGACGACTATCAAGTCTGTTGGTGTACATCCATTCTCTATTAGACAACATTTTGATCTAAAACTACATTTCCATTTAAAAATGTTAATTAGAATCCTAACATTTCGATATAATAGTGTAACATCCCATTTAATCTAATATGTATGACTAACGATACATAACATTTCAACAAATGATCAATATCATAATATGCATTTTAAATTAACTAAAAATCCATATATAAACATTTAACTAACATTTTTAACAAATTTAACTAATTAACTTAAGATTTTTTATATTATATTATATATATATATATATATATATATATATATATATATATCATATTTAACAAATCTAAAACCTCAAATTCAACCTATATTTCATATTTAACAAATCTATAACCACACATTCAACAAAGTGCAGGAGGAATTAATTTTAACAAATCTTAAACACCAAAATCAACCTAAAACATCACATTCAACAAAAAAAATCAACCTAAAACCTCATATTCAAAAAAAAATCAACCTTACTAGCTCACATTCAACAAAATTACACCTAAAACAAAGTAATTTTTAAAAAGAAACAAAAAGAAAAAAAACTAGGGTTTACCTTTGGCTCGGAGACAGGAAAATGCAGCAGGAAGAAGCACCGGCAGTGGCAGTGCCGTGGACGTCGGAAAAGTGCAGGAGGAGGAAAGGGCGCCACCACCAAGGGGAAGAGTGTGTCGGCCACTAGAGAGAGAGAGAGACAGAGAGAGCTGTACCATGTTTTTTTTTTGTTCTTGTAAGTTGCGATGCGACAAGGGGGAAGACAGAAAAGTGGGGCATATATCATTAAATTAGAGACACCGGCCAGCAAAAAAAAAAATGTTGCAGCATGAATTAAACTTGAGTTTCACAAGTATTAAACTAATAGTCTTACCAACCGGCCGAGTATGCCACTTCCTTAATTGTTTAGACTCCAATTGATTTTATTTTGTTTCTGGAAAAATAAAGAAAAACGGGGTGGGGTAAGAATCGAACTCAAGTCTCCTGCTTAACTAACCATCACAATTACCATCCGGCTAGGCATGCCACATCCTTGCTGACTTAGTCTCCTATTAATTCTATACACTTTCTTTTTTCGATTAATATTATTATTATTATTATTATTATTATTATTATTATTACTATTATTATTATTATTATTATTATTATTATTCAAGTCTTAAATTTTTTTTTTTATGATCGTATGTATGTGTGTGCTTATTATTATCATTATTATCATTATCATCATCATCATCATCATCATTATTATTATTATTATTATTATTATTATTATTATTATTATTATTATTATTATTTCTTTTCAATATTCAAGTCTTAAAACTTTTTTTCACTATTATTATTATTATTTTTTTCACTATTTTTTTTCAATAATAGTAATATTAAAAAAAATTTAAAATATGGTTAACACACAAACAAACAATTAAAATAATATACGTTTAATGTATAAATTAAATAATGAAAAAAATATGATAATTATGGGAAATATGTATATTTGTATAAGTATGCATGTGTGTGCTTATGTATATGTATGTGTGTGTATATGTATATGTAAGCATTACAACTTTAAAAAATGAGCAATGGATTATAGTGTTAAACCAAAAAACAAGTAATGGATCCCGTATGTGCACATGACTTTATGAATGATATTAATAGCTATAAGTTGGTGAAAATATAGATAATTATATATAATACAGGTGTGAAAAAAAACGGAGCGAAAAAACGACGTCTGCTGCCGGAAAAATCAAAAATAAGAAAAATCTGTAGTTAATCCGTAGCTAATTAGCTACAGATTAGCTACGAATTTTTCTTATTTTCGATTTTTCGGGCCCAAAACGTCGTTTTTTTCGCCCTGTTTTTTTCACACGTCTATTATATACGATCATCTATATTTTCACCAACTTATAGCTAATAATATCATTGATAAAGTCGCGTGCACATACATGATCCATTGTTCGTTTAATGGTTTCACACTATAATGTTTATAAATACGTATACATACATCTCACAAACACGTATACATACACATATACATGTACACATATACCACAACTCATTCATGTATATAAATATACATATACAAACATAATCCATCACAAGTTGGTGAAAAGTATAAATATTATAATGTTAAACAATGAAACGAGTACTTGATCCCGAAGGGGCACACGACTTTAGGAACGATATTAATAGGTACTAGTTGGTGAAAATATAGATAATCATGTAGAGTAGAGGTGTGAAAAAAACAAAGTGAAAAAAACGATGTTTGGTGCTCAAAAAATCGAAAATAAGAAACATCCATAGCTAATTAGCTACGGATCAGCTACGGATTTTTCTTATTTTTTATTTTTCGGGCACCAAACTTCGTTTTTTTCTCTCCGTTTTTTCACACCTTTATTATAAATGATTATCTATATTTTCACCAACTTATAGCTATTAGTATCATTCATAAAGTTGTGTGTACATACGGGATCCATTACTCGTTTATTGGTTTAACACTATAATGCGTATGAATACGTTCACATACATCTCACAAACACGTATACATACACATATACACATACACATATACCATAACTCATTCATGTGTATAAATATACATATAAAAACATAATTCATCACAAGTTGATGAAAACTATATGCATTACAATGTTAAACTGTGAAACGGTACTTGATCCCGAAGGGTACACAACTATATGAACGATATTAATAGCTACATGTTGGTGAAAATAAAGATAATCATGTATAGTAGAGGTGTGAAAAAAACGAAGCGAAAAAAACAACGTTTGGTGCCCGAAAAAATGAATATAAGATAAATCTGTAGCTAATCCGTAGCCACTTAGCTAATCTGTAGGTATTTAGTATCCGTATGTATTCCGTAGCCATTTCATAGCTAATTAGCTACGGAATATCTACGAATTTGCATCTGTAGCTATTCCAAAGCTATACCGTAGCTATTCCGTTACTAAACTAGGACATCCCATTATGTAGCTGATCCGTAGCAATATCGTAGCTAATTAACTACGGAAATTTTCCGTACCTATTTTTCGTAGGAAAACACCATGTTTTCTAGTAGTGCATAGTGAAGCGAAGTGGCTATGTTGTGGAGTATGGGATATTAAAAAAAATGAAAAACTAAAAATAGGTGTTAACTCATGCGGCTACTTAGTGGCTTCCCTAAATCCAAAGTTTTCATTTACATTTCGTTTTTATTTTGGGCATACCAATATCTGTGACTAAATTACACTTATTTAGGGTGGATTGTGGAAGATTCTAATAAGATGGGGGGCTGACGTGTACATTTGAATGACATGGAGCTGCGCACGAAAGTCCTAATTTCAAAGGGGTAGTTCATGTAATTCTTGCTACATAAGAAAACAAATTCGAATTCCTTTATCTTGATAAACCTTAGCTGCGATAACCTATCTAAACTTGTGGAAATCGTTAGTATTATATATGGAAACAGAGCTGTGGTGGGATAATTTGAATCCTACCACAATACTAAATAATGCAGCACCTGTGGTTGATGCACATATATACATATATACATCCGAAAGTCGAAACTCCCTCGTAAAGAATATCTGGAAAACCTGCAACCGTTGCGATTAATGGATTCTTCAAGAAGAGGCAACAATGGCGGACAACGTGCAAGTGGCAATCGGGAATGCAACCAGCATACAAGGTTTAACAACATGCAGCGTCAGAGGGGCTTTCGTAGGGGTTTTGTGAATCGTGGAACCTCTCCACTTGTTTCAAATTCTTTCATGCCTCTACAAATGCATGTGCCAGTTGCCCCTTTTGGCAACAATTTCATATATCCTGGTAAGCTTTTTATTATTCAACTCTACATGTGGAATTAAACATGTTATGAATTTTAAACAAACTGGTTTTGATAAACGGGTTACATTTTCTAACCCCATCTCAACTTATTTATCACACGGGCTAACATTAGGTTGATGTATTTTTACAACCCTAACTTGTTAAATAAATAATTCATTTATATTTCATAATATGAAAAATACATCTAGTTAAATTAGTTAATAGTTGTTCAAAGTTAGAAAAAAGAAATCCAACTGCAAATACAAATTAGGTTGATGCATTTATTTTTTACAACCCTTTTTCTGTTTTGTTTGTATAATGCATTTTATGTACATGCAGATTTGGCGTCTTATGTTCAAGGTTCAACTCAATCTGCATGGATGATTACACCGATGCAATCTCCAGTGTCCTTACCTGTTCAAGATCAAGATTTGCATGAAAAGATTGTGAAACAAATTGATTACTATTTCAGGTTCTGTATAATCTCTCATATCTAAAACATTTGTGGTGGTTTATAATTAGTTCAAAACAATTAACATCTTATTTCCCTTTGTTGCAGTGATGAGAATTTGGTTAAAGATTTATACTTGCGACAAAAGATGGACGAACAAGGCTGGGTTCATGTCACTTTAATAGCAAGCTTCAAGAAAGTAAGTATTATATACAAGATGCATAAATTGATGCATACACTTTTGTTGAAGCTTATGAGATTCAAACTTGAGTCAACTCCATTTTAAAGTTTTTCGTTTAAAGTGACAACCATCATGCCACATTGATATTGGTCCCTTCATACACACTCTTTTATGCTGCATTTGATATCAATTAATATCCCTCTTTTATTGCAGGTTTTGTGTTTAACTGACAATGTTAAGCTAATTCTTGATGTAATGCGGGCATCAAGAGCTGTGGAAGTGCTGGTATGTATTAATCTTTTTCAAGTCGATCAAACATGTGATAATTCATAAA